ATCCCACATTTTGTCCCGCACTTTCAACTCGAGAACCACAAAAGCTAGGCGGCTGAAATTTTTGTATAATGTTCCCCGCCAACGGGTGACGCGGCAAATTTAAATTCAGCCTTCCCGTACCCGCGGTTAACACGTGCGGCCCTGTGAAAGTTTTTGCGGGTAAATATCTCAGGAACCATGGAGTCTAGGAGGCTGAAATTTTAGGGTAATGACCCCCTGCCCACGCTCAATTTGCCCATCCAAGTTCAGCGTTCCTGCGCTCTTGAGTATCACCTACGGCCTCGTGAAAATTTTGACGGGTAAACTATTAACTCGGGGATCACGGAAGGACATTCATCCTTCAAAGTTTCGAATTCAGCTTTCATGCGCTGGTGCGTGAAATTTTCAACTGTTTTCCAATGTTTGAACTATTTTTGCATAGACGAAGCAGTGAAATTCATTAATAGGCAATCGTTCGGTGGGCTGAATTGCACAAAACGGATGATTGCATCGGGTAGTCTGGTGCGCGTTGCTAATTTATTTTTTCTAGGCCGCTAATCGAACACAGCAACGACGTGGCGTATACGGCGCGGATGATTATGATGAAGATACGGTGTATTACAGACATGTACCATCAGTGCACAGTAATGATGAGTACGAAGGCGTTTTCGTTGTTGATGAGGATCAGGTTGAGGGCGAAGTTAGCACGGCTGGTGACGATTACTATGAAAATTATCCGGCTCACATGTAAAACGCTTCTCCTTCATTTCGTCGATGTAAGCATCGCTTTTTCTTCTTGCGTATGTGTGTGTGTTTTTTTTTTTTTTTTTGTTTGTATTTCTTGATATTTTTAAAACAGGCGGGGGTGAGGGGCATTTTGCAGAACAAACAGACAGATGAAATGTAAAATTTTGCCAACTTTTTTGTTGTTTTTTTGAAATATTCCCCTTCTGCCTTCTGTGCCTGTTATTCATCATACCCGAATTACAAAGTCCTAGGATGCTCTGGTGTGAATGTACATTTTTTAGATTGTTGAAGGGAATGTTGGGTATGATATTGACATAACTTTACTTCCTTTTATCCCGAAATTGAGACACATTGTCTCCTGGGCACGGTTACCTTTCCCTTCTTCTTCCAACTAGCTGCTTTGTCTGAAGAAAAAAAATTTCTACTCCCCTTGTAGTTCCCGCTACTGATAAAACACTGGTATAACGTACTGCATTGCCGTAATTATCCACTAATAATAAGGTACCCGAGGCGAACACTGGAAAATCCTATAGTCGGGATGTTGTTTTTTGTCGACGGAAAAATGCACTTGAGTTTTAACCGAGTTTCAAACGATATGCTAGGTTTTATTCACCGTCAAGGCTCTTTTTTTTCTGCTTGGGAAAGTAGCTCATCTATGTTTCGGTAAACCCTTTTCACCTCGCCAAAAGGCATCTCCTAAAAAGGCAAAAAATGATATGACAGATGTAATTTCTGCGAAAATTCGTAGATTTGTGGACGACAAATGTTTGTTATGCGTTTTTTGCATCTATGTAATGCAAAGCGCATATTTTCGAGGTGTTATCTGTTTATGTTTGTGTGTGTATCTGCCTGTCTCTCTGTTTTTCGTCTGTACCGACTTTTCATCTCGAGACCTACGAAAGCTACAAGAATGAAACTTTGGGAACTTAATCTGCATGCACGTACGGCTCCCATTTCCAAAATGGACGCTCTTACCCACGTGGTTCCAACATATGGGTCCGTCAAAGTTTTTAACGGGTAAGCTGCTAACCGAGGAACCAGAAAAACTAAAAAGCTGAAATTTCAACGGGGTCTTCCCTGCACGTAAAACTTGATAAGTTCATATCCAGCCCCAAGTGTACGTGATTGACACGTACTAGCCCGTAAAAATTTTTTGTGGGTAAATTGCTAATTCGGGATCCTGAAAAGATAGAAAGCTGGAATTATAAGGAGATGTTCCCCATCCAGGTATGACTTAATAAATCTAAACCCACCCTCAAGTGTGCATGATCCCCATGAACGGGCTCGTGAAAGGTTTTTGCGGGTAAATTGGCAACTCGGGATTTTAAGGGGGCGTTCCCTATCCACATACAATCTGCTGGCTTCAAATTCAGCCTCAGGTGTGCGTAGTTCTGCCCCTGAAAATTTTTTGTTATTTGCTAACTTGGAATCTGAAAGGCTAGGATGCAGGGATTTTAAGCGGGTGTCTCTTGTTCAAGTGCAACTTAGAAGTTTCAAATGCATTTCTTGGATTGCGTGGCTCGAGCGCATGAAATTTTTTTGCGGGTAGGTTGTTAACTAGGAACAAGAAAAGTCAGGCCTAAAAGCGGCTTCCACGTCTGGCTTAGACGTCGGCATCTAACCAGATGTACGTGAAAGCGGCTTCACATTCCTTCCGTGTTTCACGCAACTCCGCAACTGATACAGCTGTAGCACTAAATGTTCTGGACCGAAGATGTCTAAGCAGTCGCGCGTAAAAAAAATTTCAATTCTGCCCTCACCAGCACGTGAAGTTTGATCTAACCCTGCAACTAAAGTCACTAGAGCGTTGAGATTTCTTGAGCATTGTTGTGGCTGTTGGGCATAGCTCACGCAACTTTTGTCGCGTTAACAACAAATTAGATAATTCAACAAAAAAAAAGCACAAGAAGAGGAGG